ATCCCCCATACTGCCCTCCGTACTCGGTCAAGGGGTGTCCCCCCCCCCCCCCCCGCTTCCGTCTTCCCCTCCTCCGAGCACACCAGGCTCCGCAGAACAACATCACCCTCGCTGAATCGGATGGAGGATGTCCAAAATTTCAAATACACCGTACAACACCCCGTCCAGGCGTACAAATCAGACCGCCTACGCAGGATTTTTAAGAGTATCTAGAAAAAGAATAGAGAGGGGGCACGCAGACCCTATCCCTACTAAACCTAACCCTAACCCCAGAGCACGGATTGAATACTTCATCCAATATGTTTGCTTGATCAATTTTGCGGCGTAGACTGCTGCAAATCTGTTGATCTTTTTTTTTTGTTTGCCCTTCGCCTTCCACCACCAAATAACCGGAAATTTTTGCTTGACTAATTTCTCCTGCGAGAACCAACTTCACGATTTTTGAATAGAGTGCGGCAAACGATCCCTCTCGGAATTCCGTAGATAGATAGATGATGGCGCTTTTCCCGCTTTTTCCTAAAAAATAAGTTCCACCAGAAATGCCCCAATAACTGGATCTGGGAGGGTGCTTTACTTATTTTCTCCTGCGAGAATCAACTTCACGATTGTAGGATCTAGTGTGCGGCAAAAGATTCCTCTCGAAATTCCGCAAATGGTGCTTTTTCCCGATTTCCCCTAAAAACTACAAATTCCGCGAGATATTCCACATTGTGCGAAGGTGTACCGATTCAGGTAAAAGTCAATCGACGGATACCCTGCGAATCGGGTCCTCCTTAACACTCTCCACCACAGAATTTACCCTCTACTGGGAACCTCTTGTGACCAGGATGGGTAATTAGATGGAACTGTCACAAGGTTCTTTATTTATAGGATCGACTCCAAGCGGTGTTCTCAGGACTGACACACGTTGTGTCCATGCGAAAATGTCCAAGTCAGGAGGGAAAGTGTTCAACCAAGGAGATCCGAACCAGTATCCAGCTGGCGCCAAAAGCGAAGGTGTACCGATTCAGGAAAAAGTTAATCGACGGATACCCCGCGAATCGGGTCCTCTTTAACACTCTCATACCTTTTTCTCGTTATATGTGTGCGTGTTCTTTAGATCCTCAGATGGCTCTAGCGCTTTCGTGACCACGGGCTGAGAGTCTTTTGCTAGATTTTGGCATTTGGCAACTGACATACGGTTTAATGTGAAGACAACAACAACAACAACCCACACACAGCATTTACGCTCGACAGGGAACCTCCTGACCCAGGATGGGCAAATCGATGGAAGTGTCACAAGGTTCTTTGTAGGATCGACTCCAAGAGGTGTTCTCATGACTGACTGACACACGTTGTGTCCATAGGAAAATATCCAAGCCAGGAGAAAAAGTGTGTGCCCAAGGAGATTCGAACCAGTAGCCAGCTAGCGCCATGTGCGAAGATGCACCGATTCAGGTAACAGTCAATCGACGGATGCCCTGCCAATCGAGTCATTCTTCACAATTGTGTGTAAACCCGAGATTTTTCTCCAGTCTAGAACATTTTTCGTCAGCAAACATACGTGAGATTATTGTGGTGCAATTTTCGTTTTGGTTGAAACCTTCGTTGTTTGCCTTCATGTCGGGGTTACTTTCGTGGCTGCAATTCTGTCTAATTCGACATATTTCGAAAGTTATCGCAAAAAACACGAGTGGACAAATTGACAGACCACATGCATTTGTGTATCCGCGCATTTCAAAATATCAATATAGTCTAATACGCGGTGTTACTACCTGCATGGATGATCGACAGAGTCAGATCCTGTCGTACTACAGCACAGGAGTGCACCTGCACTACTGCACTTCCGCACGGCACAGTATTTCAATGGTCGGGCGATTGAACTCTGTAGACCAACGTAGAATGCTGAGGCGACAACGGATCGAACGCATGGCGTCGCCACGCAGCACCCTCAGAAGGTTTTGCCTAGGAGTGTTCCGACATGCATACCAAGCTCCATACAACCTTGCCTGCTACAATGCCACATAGCAATATCAGCCGCTGACATGATCAAATTATACCAAACCAAGGCAAGGTCAAGGGCGGCCCTGTAGTATGACTCCACATATATTTTCGCAGCTGGAGGCTCCATCTTCCATGTCGTTACCGTCTTTCAGCTCTGAACCCTTCCGCACTGCAATCGTTCCCTCTCCACCTTCTTCCCAGAAGTTGGCAGGTTGCACTCGAATCGTCCCAAAGGCGTGAATTGAGTCATCAACGGAATCAAGTCTACGGATGATATTCGGCGGCAACCCCCAAGTTCCCATCGCACTTTGTGTAGCCAAGGTGTCTGAAACGACTCTCAAGACTGGAGAATGCGGCAATCAACCATGACAAAGGCAATGACAGAGTTTTCATAGCGTCACCGTTCTCGCGGTGTACTACGGTAGCGGAGTGCCCTCTTGCTCAGTCCTCGAACAGGCCTGACCGCGAGTTCCATTGCTCAACCAGCTCGCAAACCCTCCGAATAGCAGTCTTCTCGACTTCCTTCAGCCCCGGATGCCACACATCAATGTTCAAAATAACCCGCTCCCCGTCCGTAGGGTTGTACGTGCGGTGCAAAAATGAGGGGTCGAAGACGAAAGCTCGGCCCAGTTCCCAGTGCCGTTTCTCGCCGGCAACCTCTATCCACGCTCGCTCTCCGCTTCGCTCTCTTCTCTCCGTCCCGCCATCACGACCAGTCCCATTGCTCCGTTCGACTGCACCAACCCCGGCGGTAGACCCCGCGCCCCCGGATTCCCCTCCGGCCGCCTTCTTCTCTCTCACCACGCCGCCACCTCCCCCAAACCCAACCCCCCCGGCAACCCTCTTGTTCCGGTTCGCGCCGCCGCGCCCCTTCCCGCCTCGCCGGTCGCCGGCAGTCGCTGCCGAGGCATCCGCCGAGCCGTCTGCGGACCCTTCTTCGCCCGCCGCCCCCGCGGCGGCGGCGGCGGCGGCGGCGGCGGCGGGGGGTACGACCACCCCTACGTGGCAGCCGAGCACGAAGTTGCTCGGGTCGACGTGCAGCGGGAGGCCCGTGCCGGGGAGCTGTCGCTGGAAGGCGGCGGTCTCCGGGGCCAGCGGGAGCCGGCGCAGGGCGGCCAGGGTGCGCGGCAGGAGGGAGTAGTTGACGCCGGGCTGACCGAACCTGATTTTTTGGTGTTCGCGCGTGAAGTCAGACAAGGCCCAGAGGGAGCATGCGTGAACAACCAAACCTTACGTTACCCACAGTCCTCGGACATCGACCAACCGGAGCATGTGAGTAAGCACGCCCACGATCTGGTGGGGCCACCGACACTGGCGGAAGCTACCCGCAGAACAGCGTCGTGCGTGTCACAGGAGTGCCTCGAGGTTATCCGAATCTGGTTACAGTCGGCGGCCCTCAACAGCGGTAGATAGTGGCAAGAGGTGCTCGTGCCACTACAGAGGGCAGTGCCGCTACTCTCGATAGGCATTGTACTGAGAAATGCATTTGTGCCAAGCGATTTCGGTGCCGCTAGAGAGGGCAATCCGCTATTGAGGGTACCGTATTGAGGACCGCCGACTGTATTCAAGTCCACTTCAAAGAGCGGTGAGGAGTGCATACTGCGGCAACCGAATATTGTAGTGCTGCCCCAGGACACCAAAAACACAGACAAAATAATTCCTTTTCTCGATCAGCGAACACTGCTTGTATCGCCCTCCGCGCACCTGCCCATGTAGCGTATTCTCATCGTACCCCATCCACGTGTAGCATCGTAAACTGTGCTCATCTCCCCCGTGCCGCCCTTATAGCTCCGCGCCCCCCCCAATCTTTCGAGAGCCTCCATCTCCCGCTTGATATCAGGGGCGGCGTCCTCCAAATCTTGCAGCCAAGAAAATTCTGACCTGACAAATAGCGATGGCGCACAACAACGTGCCGTTGTGATGCTACAAACAAGAGTTCAAGGGTCCAAAATCGCTCGAACGATAATTTACGCCGCACACACATATTGTAAGGACACCGCCTCCGCGAGACTAATTTTATCAGGAAAGAGAACAGGGACGGGGTACGCAGACTCTATCCCTAACCTTAACCCAACTTACCCGATAGCATGTTACATCCAACATGTTCACTTACAATAGAAATAACCTGCGAAGGCGACCACAAAAGTAGGTAAGGTTACTCACTCGGTCACGCTGTTGGTCACATCGACATGTCTCTTACAACGGTTCTGCACGAAACTATACCATTCTTACCTGTCATCCCACCAAGGCTTGGCCTCCAGCCCCGGGAAGTACAAGCCGGTAGCTCTGTACGAGGGCGACGCCTCTGCGGGAGGCGCCTTTCCGTCTCGGTTGTGCGCGACGAAGCCCCAGACACGCGAAAGGTCTTCCGGCGGGTTCTCTCCTGCGCCTAGCTCGCTCCTGAGAACCTGGCGGGTGGGGTTTGGTGCCACACGAGGAGGGCCCGTGGTGAGGTGTGCCTACATATTGTATGCGTCTGAAGTGCACCAACACAGAGTCACGGACGCACTGCTGTCGAGCGCTGTCTTCCTACATGCAGATTTACGTTACATGCACCGCTGTGTCCACCTACATGAGATTTCATGTACAGCAGTGCAGCGAGTCGTCCGATGTCGTGGGTGGCTTCTTCAACCAGATATGCTGAACTATTGAGAGAAGGGACCTTCGTCCAACGGGTGCCGATATTGCCTGCTGTGTGGTCGAACCTCGACACGCTCTACCGCACACACGGCAAATTGTCGCAGGCAAATCGGCCGTCAAACTGCAACCTGCGGACACCTAAGAGATCCTGCCGCCGTTGGGTGCATAATAGATACGGCCGAAAGTCCAAACGGCCGTGTTCATACCTTGACCACGGTATCCCAAAATCTCCGCTGGTCATCCCCTCCATAAGTTCCTTCTTCCTCCTCTTCCTCCTTCACTCCCGCGTCTTGCTCTTGTCTTACGGACTGCACTGGCATGAGTGAGCATGATCTCGCTGCGGTGTGCCACGACGACGATGTTGCTGCCGGTGGTGGCACGGCTACAAACGCTGGGGTTACGGCTGCCCTCGAACATATCGACGAAGCAAGAACAGCTCCTGATACCCGTCGCATGAGTCGGCGGCCAGAGCACCATTCAGTACTCTACTATCCCTTGCTGCACAGCGCTCGCTGCTGGCTATACATAAAGGCCTCCCGGCCGGCTTACCGCTCCGCGAAATGTTTTTCCACGCCCGACGGGTACTACGTATTGACGGCATTGCCTGAGCCCCCCCGCCCGCCCCCCGCCTGGCCGCTGTTCCGCTGTTGTGTGAAGCCGGTCTCATCACTCGCGACGAGGCTGCTGTCACGCACCTTCACGTCGAAACATGGATGTCGATGGAACATGCCTGGTGGTTTCTCCTTGCAATAACTGCAGAATCAACAAGGTGAGTTTGCGCCAGGGCTCCGGAACTAGGGAACACGGGGACGAAATTTTTGCCTGCCTTTTTGTGAAGGCGCCGGGGGAGACCGGCGGAGCAGAGAGAGGCACGTATGCTTGTAGGGGAATGGTGCCAGCCTGCTGTGGTGGCAGACCCTTGTATTATCATCGCGGACACCAGTCCTCCTAGGTTCTTAGAAAGGCGGGTCCGCCAGCGGTGCAGCCGTCCGGCGAGGGCGGCGTGCTTCCGCCCCGTCGTGCTGTTACCGACCCCCGCTGCATTTCGACGGCGGGGGGTCGTGAGACCCAAACCTGCTGCTGGTGTTGTTTACCCCACGATTCGGAGCTTGGGATGGGAAGGTCAGTGGTGATTGTGGGGCTTGGCGTTGCCGGTGAACTTCGTTGTAAGCCTCGCCCGCTCTGCAGGGAGGTACAGCGTCGGCATGTTGTAGCTAACTGGCGAGGGGGGGGAGTTTGACTACTCGTTATGTCGCCCACCGGAGCGGGTAAATAGGCTTGTCCAGTATGTGCTGCCGACTGCTCCGACGAAGGGTTCGTGGCCTGTCGGCTGTATTGCCTTTCCTGACGAGCTTCGAATAACAATCGGGCCACCCCGCTGTCTTTCCGCGCGGCGAGAACAGAATGGCGTTCAGGCGTGCATCATGCGGAAGCACAACGCAAGGCTGACGGCGGTGAAGAGAGATGAACTGGCCGCGAGGCACCGCCAGTGCGTCAAACCCGACCAGGTGAGCTAATTTTATTTATTTAGTTTTTTCTTACAGTGACACGATCGAAAATATCCCTATTTCTAAATGTTGCTGTTGAGAACGCCTACCCAGCTTCCACCACATGGGTCTGGCTCCCCGCCTAAAGTCCGCTTCACGAACGTACCCTCTAGTTGTTACTTTTGGCTGTTGTCACTGGGGGGGGCGGGTGTGTACCCAAAGAACGGCTAGATTCGTCGCCGGTATGGAAGCGTTCGGGGGGCTCGCCTGGTGGGCCCTTTTTTATTTCGGTTCGTCCTTGAGACCCCGTGTTCTCTCTGCGCTCTGTTCCATGCACCACGGTGCAGACGATGACGATCTTCAAGCTGGTGGATCGAAACACCGGCGAGGAGAGCGTGGAGTACTCCCCCGACATGATCTTCCAGAGGCCTTGCGCCAGCTGCATACACCTCAAGGTGCGTGTCACATGCCTTTGGCTCAGAGACGAGACGTATCAAAGTTGGGGTCGTGGTTGGGCCGGCCAGGGAATGCGGTGTGGATATGACGCGTACTGGTGGTGTTTTCACTCTCGCTACATGGGACGGAGATGGGGGCGGTACGCGCGGGTAGGCTCTTTGCGTCCAAAGCGAACCCGAAGAATCCCGCCGGCTAGCTGCGTGCACCTCGTGGGGCGACATCTGTTGTTCAGCCTATTGTGCGCTGACCCCATCTTGTGTTGCTGTTTCCCGACTTGACTGCTTTCGTTTCGTCTCGACGCCCCCCCCCCGCCTACTCTCAATCGTTCGTTCCTCGTCTGGCTGACCTTTTCCTCCATATTTTGCCGGCTTCTTGCCTGGCTTTTCCTAGACGTGCATTCTCGGCAGGCACGAGCTGACGGACTGGACGCCGGAGGGAGGAAGAGGACGTACCTCGCAGGTATGGAGAGCAAGTTGTGCGCCCACTTGACCCCTCGGCTCTGGTACTGGTTAGACCCCTGTGGAGTCCGTTTCCCCATGGCAGGCTCGACCGACACACGTACCATTGAACAACAAAGGACACTGCCCGACCACAGTCAAAATGCGCGACAGTTAGGTACGGTCCGTCGCGTTTTTAGGAGTGGCTACAGGCGTTCGTTCTGCACCCTGATGCGCTCATCGTGTACCCTGACCTGTGCATCCAGCAGTAAAAGGTGGGGTTGGTTTCTACAGTATTATAGTCATCCCTGTTCACGGCGTCATAACGCGCCGAGTGTTTACGTCCTCACACGGTTCAGCTGCCCCCACCCCTCAACGACGGCGACATTAAGTTGACGCGATGTAATTCATCCCCATGAAGCGTGCGTTGCCGAATCATTCCACGCCCCCCCCTGATGAGGGGTACCCGATTGTTTTGTTGCCTCTTTTTAACCCTGTTGGGTCTAGCTCTTATTTTGGGAGAGTGCGGGAGAGAGAGAGGCAAAAGTGCGAAAAAATGAGACGGTGTTTTTCTGTAGACGCAACAGCTATCTCCACCTGAAGGCCATGAGGGCAGCCCGCGACAGGATGATGGGGCAAAGACAGGGTCATAGAAGGGTTGATGTGTGGTCGCGGTGCGGCCGGTAGGGCACGGTAGGCTTACAGACCTTGAAAAGATCAGTTAAGCTGTCTAAACTACTCATTGTTCACTATATCAAATGATCAGTGAAAACGATCGGTGAGAGGGCTTGTAGACCAATAGCTGGTTCTTGTACTTCTGTACCTCTCTGTCCCTTCCCCAATGTGAGCCCTGCCGGCTCACTACAGCTGTTAGATAAAGTTACACCATTAGACTGGTCGGCGGCAGACTAGCCAATAAAAAGACTAGCCATGGTATCACTTTATCTTTTAAAGGATACCCGCACGAGTTCAAAAACCGGCCGGATCACTTTTCTTTACAAAAAGTGCTCGTAGAACTACCAGCGTCTGGCGAGGGGTCGTCCCCGCAGATTCCTGCTTTCAATCCCATTGATTAAGTCATAAAACCCAAGTGATTCTGCCGGGTGCTGATGAGCTGAGCCCATATCTTTTGGCTAGTCAGCGAGTCAGCGACGAGTCAGCGAGTCAGCGACGAGTCAGCGAGTCAGCGACGAGTCAGCGAGTCAGCGACTAGTCAGCGAGTCAGCGCTGATTAATTTTATCTTACAACAACTCTTGTGATTTTCCGACAATTCCCACAAGCACACAAGCACCAGCACACACCTACACCTTTGCATCAGTGGCTCCGTAGGTTCGAGCGGTGATGAGGTTATGACTATAGTGTACATATCGCTTATTGGACTCGTCTATACTGCTCCTGCTGTGCCAGCAGTAGTATACACAGCAGCAGTATAGCAGCTGACACGATGACTGCTGGATTTTGGGAGCGTACGATTTTAACATTTGAGGAAGAATAGTCTACACAACATACCAAGATCGGGTCTGGTTGGGTTTGAAATGCCCCTTTTTGCTTCCCTCCGCTCTTTGCTCCAGTGGCTTCCTAGATTCGGGCGAGCGCATGTATGCATATGTGGAGCTGTTGATGGGTGTCTCTGCACAAGGACGTGGAGAGACATTCATGATGGCATTCGCATTCAGCCCATTGAGGATTTGTCGAATATCGGCCGTTTGAGGGACCTTGATTGCCTGCCGGTACTAACGTCTTTTCATTGGTCACCGGTTGACGCGGTTGATGCCAATACGAAAGACACACCTACCTATGGACTTGGCTAACACCTGGCGTGGAGGGTTACTGGGCGGCAACTCCATGACATGCCACCACACTAGCATTTGCAATGATTAATCAATGATCTGTCAGTACGCCTGTGGACCCAAACGGGTTAAGTAATATTTGGCGACAACGGGCAGAGTTGTCCTGGTCATACCGTTGCAGTCAAGAGGCGACAAGTACACCCATTACCCCCCCCCGCCCCCCCCGGTGTTTGCCATCGGGGTTGGGTTTTCGTCGCTTGGCAGCGACGTTGTAAAACAAGGCCCCCCATCGGTGCTTGCCATCGGGATTGGGTTTTCGTCGCTTGGCAATGGCCTTGTTAAAACAAGACTTCGTGAGCTCGGCAACCAGGTTACCGTTTTTTTTTACCTCTTTTTTTTTGGCGGAAACCATAATGGTGGTCGAGTGGATCATGTTGTGCGGGGTGGAGAAGCCTCACTCCGCGCAAGGGGGATGATCGCACCACGTTGTGTTAAAATGGTCAAGCACCCTCGAGGCAGTTACACAGTGCTTACAACTGTCTCTGGAAGTGAAAGCACCAGAAAATAAATTAATTCATACGCAGCTGTCATCCGTACGCAAGGAAGTAAGCACAAGATGCCGAACACCCTTAGCAGGATGCAGCGCACCCTTCATGCGACTCGCCGAATATCTCACGGCGCTTCGCGCTTGGTGATGTGAGAGCCTGGTCCGGTGAGAACCCGGCGTGCTCCGTCCCGGCTTTGTAGGGATGCGAGGTCAATGGTCTAACGACTACGGCATGCACGACTATGAGTACACGCCCCCGCCCCGCGCCCGCGCCGTTACGTGTTTCGATCATACTTGTCAGAACAAGCGCAAGTCTGCATCCACGTTGGAAAAAGCCCTAGAGCTCTTGTCACCACCGGCTGGGGAGCAACAGCAACAGCAGCAACCGTTGAGCAAAACGAGGAAGGTGACGGACGGTTACCCGAAACCGTCGATAACGATCCCGGGACCGGCGCTGAAGGCTGCTCGAAAGGTACTAGTTAAAGCTTGTTCACTGCAGCTTGTGTGGAGCGAGCTTGCAGCACACAGAGGGGGATGGCTCGGGTTTTGCCTATACGCGTGTTTTTCTTCTCAGGGTGCATACCATATTCACGTGGAATCTTGCTCGCCGAAGTACATATTGCGGGGCACTCTCGTACGCTCGGTGCCGTAGAACTGGCGTCAACAATTTGCGGAGCCTTTGTTTGGTTCCTTCTACTTCGTACCGTGATTCGAGTTTCGGGTAACCCGTTGGTTTC